GTCTGATCAGCCTCTAGCCTCTCCCCGTCGCTGTTCGCAATCCTCAACGTATCCCTCTCCCTGCGCGCAAAAGGATCCACGGAGCCTCGACAACTCCGTGGGAGTGATCGAATATTGTCTGAGTCCTCAAACGAGGATTTAAGCCGAGCTGTGCCTGGGAAACTGTCCAGCCTACACAGCGACCATCTTCGGTGTAAGTAAACAATCTTGAATCAACCATTAAGCGTCCGTGCCTAATTCTAGCGTGTCGCCTGTTCTCTCCGACCCAGTGTGCCCGGGCTGCACAAAAGGGCCTCGGACCGCTCCCGGCCCGCACAAGAGGAACAGTGGAAAAATCCCTGGTCATTCCCAGCTCACTCTCTCTTTCAGCATCCACACCCTGCCGCTGTGACACACACGATACTGGGCAAGATGGACCTGTGATCGAGTAAATGGCAGCCCTTATATAAGGCCTATAATAATAATAATAATAAATGTAGGTGATACCTCTGCTCTTTGGTGTTTCAGGGTTTTGCCCAGATGGTTTTATGTTCTTCCCAGATACTTCTTGCTAGTTTTTTTAAACCTCACACTGTTGAGCCCCAGCTCAAGTCTGGGATCGTGCCCGGTATGCAAAGGCCAATAAAGATACCAGGGGTGAAAGTACAAAGAAGGTTTATTGCTAGCAATAAAAGGTGCGAGCGGAATATTTCACGTAACAAGCACACCAGATTACTATTTCTAAGCATCTTTTATACAGGAGTTTTTGAGCCTTCATAAGCATCCTTGTTTGCTGATTGGTTATAAAGGAGTGACGCAAGGAGTTCTTTACTGAGCATGTCTCTATACCTGTGTTTTAGCCATGTATCTCATTTACATACATGTATGTTTCATTAGCATACTTTTTCACCACCTAGGGGCGTGATTTTTAGTATTTTAATGAGCCCTTTACCCCAGTACTTTGCTTCTTGCTTTTGTTTTCAAGCCCCCTTTATCTAGGACTGTCTCCTACTTATCATCGCAGATGGGCATTCATCACATAACATTCTCTTCCGCTTCATCTCTGAGTAGTGGTTTCTAGGTCACTCCTTACAACATCACAGCCTTCCCATCCTGAGCAGCACATGGAGGGGAAGGGTCAGCACTCTGGCATTGTTCTGCCAAATTTGCTGGTTCACAACAGCAGGTAAGGAAGGTCAGTGATCCAGTATTTCAATGTCCAATCTCAGTTTTTACATCTATATTCCACAGTAAAATGGCCATCAGCTTGCACCTCTGATATGGCTGAATCTAGAATCTGTACAGTCATTTCAGCTTAAACTCAGTCTTAACCTTATCTGAGGGCTTAGCCTACTGCAGTGGGCTTTCATCAGGCACCATACTGCTGGACAGGAGAGTTTCTTTGATAACCTGATTTCATCATTCCTTCATTTGTTCATTACAGGCTTTTGGTGCTTTGCCAAAGAAAAGTGAAATACATATGTGCCTCTTTCTTCTGACTGTGGCCAGTTTCAAGTACTTTTCTGGACTCACACTGTTAAACACTCCTGAAGTTTGGGATGTTGGCCAAAGTTAAGGCTGTTTGTTTGTTTTCTTTTTGACTAAATAAAGTACACTGATGCTCCTGCTAGTAATAGAAAATCCCAGAAGTTAAAAGTCCTTGCTCCTTTTCCTAGGCTCTTCAGAACATATATATAAAGAGAGATTTTCCTGCAGTTGCAGGGAGAGGGCATTGGCAGTGTCCTTGTCTCCCTTGCTTTTACTTATGGCAGAAGTGCCAAAAGTACAGCCTGTGGGTAGATCCAGCATGCAGAACTGTCAGCTGGCCTGTGGAGCTGGAAATTTGGTGGTAGGGCAAGTTGCAGCACCATTAATGGTTGCAGTTCCTGAAGCTGCAGCAGCCACTGCTCCTTCCACCAACACATTTCCAGCCCCACAGGCCAGATTTGGAGTGTGGGACAATGTCATCTGGCCTGGTAGGCTGAGCATTGGCCAGGAATTTGGTAGTGAGGTGAGCAGTGGCTGCTGAGGCTCTGAGAGCCCCAGTAAGTAACATTGACCTGGTAAACCAGATGACATAGCTCTGTGCTCTGGATCTGGCCCATGGATTGGCTCTATGCTCTGGATCTGTCCTTTGGGGACCCCTATGCTGCTTATGTGGCCCATGCAGCTAGATGAGTTTGACACCCCTGACCTATAGCTAGGGTGACCATATGAACAGTGAAATCCAGGACACTACCCCTCCACCCCCCAGCTGCTGCAGGCTTCAGGGAGTCAATGGCCCATTAATGAACCCATAGTTCTGTACTTCACAGGTGTCAACAGTCACCTGTGAAGCAACACATATTAATGGTCATTCCACTAATCAAGCTAACCTATTTTAGGGCAATTTTGTTGTCTGCTAGGGCTTCATATTTCACAGTTCCCGCAGCTCTGCCTCCTTGTTCTGTCCCCAAGAATGCAAATTTTAATTTTCACCACCAGGCAGTACACATTGAGGGCTACAGGTTGTACAGAAGGGACAGAGTAGGGAGGAAAGGGGGCAGGGTTGCTCTCTATGTAAAGGAGCATTATACATCTACCCTAATTGAAATGGGATCCGAGGAGAAAGCTGAGGCATTGTGGGTTAGGATGCATGTAGGTTGAGGGGAAAGGGACTTAGTGGTGGGGCCACCACACCAAGAGGAAAAGCTAGACTTGGAATTCTTGAGGCAGCTCTCAGAGGCCGTACAGTTTAGGGACATGGTTGTCATGGGGGACCTAAACTACTCTGACATCTGCTGGGAGGAGCAGTCAGCCAAATCCAACTGTTCATGTAGGTTCTTAACCTGCATGCAGGACTTCACCTAACGCAGGAGGTATAGAGTCCCACTAGGGGGAATGCCTTACTGGACTTGGTGTTGGCTACGGGGGAAGACCTGGTAGGGGAGCTGCAGATTCATGGTCACCTTGGGTACAGCGACCACCAATCAATCAAATTCACCATATGGCATAGGGTGGGTAAGATAACTAGCAGGGTGGAAGCGCTTGAATTTAGGAAGGCTGACTTGAGTGTGCTTAGGAGTCTAGCCAATGATGCACTGCAGGAGAAGAGTATTGGTGAGATGGGAGTCCAGGATGGGAGGTCATTTCTAAAAGAATCGATCCTTTGGGAGCAGAGGGAGACTATCCCAGTACGAGGGAAAAGGGGGAAGGAGCAAAAAAAATTCCTTGGCTAAACAGGGAAATCCAGGGGAGTCTAAGGGCAAAAAAGAAGGCATACAGGTGGTGGAAGCAGGGGGAAGCTACCAAGGAGGAGTATACCTACCTGGCCTGCACTTGCAGGGAAGCAGTTAGAAAAGCCAAAGCAACTAGAGCTGAGGCTGGCAACACAGAAAGACACCAAAAAGTCTTTTTTTAGGTATGTAGGGAGTAAAAGGAAGGCACAGAGCAGCATAAGACCCCTATTAAACAAGAAGCAGAAATTAGTGACAGACAGGGGGGACAAGGCTGAGCTATTCAATGAGTTTTTTGCCTTGGTGTTCCTGAACAGGGATCAAGATAAGTCTCCTAATGGGCTGTTAGATCGACATCAGAGGGACACCAGCCCACCAACTGTTGACACTGACTTGGTGCAGAGTCACTTGGATGGACTGGATGTGTTCAGGTCAGCAGGCCCAGATGAGCTGCATCTGAGGGTACTGAAGGAATTGGTCAGTGTCATAGCAGAACCACTGATCAGAGATGCTCTGTTCACTAGGGCACCTTTTGGGGTAACAAGGAACAATGGTTACAAACTGACAGAGAGCAGATTTAGGCTAGATATCAGGAAAAACTTCTTCACGGTAAGGGTGGCCAAAATTTGAATGGGCTTCCAAGGGAGGTGGTTCTCTCCCCTACCTTGAAGGTCTTTAAGAGAAGGCTGGATAGGCATCTGGCTGGGGTCATCTGATCCTAGCACTCATTCCTGCCTAGGCAGGGGGTCAGACTTGATGATCTGTTGAGGTCCCGTCCGACCCTAGCATTTATGAATGCATCTATGACTGGCCTCCAAAATCTGGGACTGTCCAAGGAAATCCAGGATGTACGGTCATCCTATCTGTAGCCTGTTATAGTGTGTGTGTGTGTGGGGGTGGGGGTTGTTTGTTTGTTTTTGGTTTATGCTTTTTTTTTCTTCAGATTTTTTTCCTGCAGCTTTAGTTGAGGATCTGAAGTGGTAATTTTAGGAATAATTTCAATTAAGAAGTGCCTGTGAATGCAGGAGACTAGACTTAATGGCCCAGGAGGCCCCTTCCAGTCCTAGGTTTCTGTGTCTTCATTGACACAAAAGTGATTTGGCATTTTGTGTTTTTATAGCAAGGTAACAACTGCACATTAGGTTGTTTGTTTTTTTTACTGTAAAATCCTATGTGAGGATAAAGCATTTGTAGGGCTTAACATGAGGTAGCTAGATGATGTTAGCAATGTTATCACCTGCCCATAATAAAAACATGGTTTTTTGTCAGCAAAGGCATAGCATAGTTTCAATGCCCTCCCCTCTAGGGGAATTTTGGACCTCTGCTGGTAGGTGTAAGAGATGGAACCCACACCTTTCCTATGCTTGATGCCAGACTGTGGTAAGTTGACAATATCCTTGAAGGACTGGATTTGGTAATGGCTGAGATAGACTTGAATTCTTCTCTTTTTCTTCTATTTTTATTGGAGCTATGACATGAAATCTCAGATGAGGCTTGAAAAGGTCTCTTATGCTGGGCTTCTCCCATTAATATCTGGAAATTGGAAATTTAGTCCACAGCTTCCCTACTGGCTAGGGCTGAGTGACATAGAGGTGATAATACTCGAGTCCTGCCCATAGAACAGGTTCTACTGTTGCTAATGCTGGCAGAATTGCACCAACAGGTCCTCAGTTTCCTACTACAGATAAGGACTGAGCCCTTTCTGGAGTTGCAAGAAAAGACATTTAGTCACAACCATGGGACTCATAAAATGGACTAAAAGTTGGAGTTCAAATTATGATTTTTTTTGGCTGCGTACCAACATACAGGGTAATGATATCTGCACAGAAAAGAAGGAAATTTGGACTGCAAGAACCTGATCTAAAGTGTGAGTGACTCTCCTAGGCAGTCAGCTTATATATAAACATATTGGCCCTTTATCAGTGCTCCCTACCTTGGTCTTACCCCTATAAAATATTGTGGTGACTTACTCCAAGTGTTGCTTCCCTAACAAGCAAGTGAAATACTTCTTCTGTTCATGGCTCTCTTGAATCACCAATATAAATTATGTAATACGGAAATTGCCTCTCTAGTGTGTTAGGTTCCTTATCATGTGCAGGTGGCTGAGCTAGGAAGAGAAAGGCTGGGTGGTATGTGGCTATAGATGGAGACGGATACAAAGGTTTTCCCGAATTGCATGGTACCAAAAGCACAATGGAAGGGATCTAATCTTGTCTTGCCATCTAAGCAGCTAGATTTAGTTGTTCCCATGGATGTCTAAGTCCCAGAAATGCTGCTTATGCATAGGATGGGATGTCATTTCTGGGCACATAGTCCTGCATGCATGGATAAATACATAAATATGTCGCCTAGGCAACAAAGTATGAGAGAAAGAGCAGCCTCCCATCTTTTTCCCCCAATAGTTGTGTAGCTAGAATAGTCACCTTTGCCTAAAGGGGGTTTGAATATGAAGCTGTCTGACCTCCTAGCACAACCCCATAACCAATATGTCAGAGGTCAGCCATTATATCCAGATTTTCTCTGGCTTCCTGGGCAGCCACAAGAGGGAAATATACGGGAGATATGTGGGGCCACGAGGAAGGGAGCAAGCCAAAACCTATATGGATCTGTGAAGTAGCTGCTGACCTGGAAAGGGGGATGTTTCTGGGTTCTAGCCTGGGACACTGTTTTTACTGAGGCAAAAGCTTCCTGCATTTACTATCCTCTATCCATTTTTTTTTCCAATTACTATATTAATGTCTCCATTAAAAAGGGCTGCCATAGGGAGATCTGGATAATGACTGACCTGCGGTATGGTGGTTAGAGCACTGTGTTGAGAAGTGAAATAAACCCAGGTTCCAAACATTAGGTGTGGAGGGCCTATACTTCAGGACCTTCAGTTTTCCAAATGAGTGCCCTAGCCACTGAGCTTTTGTGGGAGAGTAAAGATGCACAAACACAACTTTTTTCCATTTCTGAGTCTAAGCCCTGTAGTCATGGGTTTTGCCTAACTTCATTTGGGGGCATATAAGGCTGTTATACATCTATAAGGAGCATGCATATGCGCCTTTGCTACTAATATGTATACCCAGTTTGTGTATGTACCTAGCCATGCATAGTCATCCACATATAGAGGGCTACATGGCCTGGAACAGAATTCTAACCTTCACATAAATGGCATTTTTGGCATGTAAAGACAACCAAACCTAGATACTTAGAAGACTACAAAAGGAACAGAATTCTACCCAATGTCATCATACATCCTAATGCATTTTCTGTTTGTGACCCTTTTGTTCCTATTCATTTACTGCTTGCTTGTTTGCCTCTCCCAGCACTGGCCCCCTTCCCTTCCTTCCCTCCCTGCCTTTGGTATACAGATTGCTCTCATCCATTTGATGCACTGCTCTCTTCACATCTTTTCACAGCTGCTGATGAAGTGAGCTCCAGCTCATTAAAGCTTATATTGTATATATACCTGATTTAGTCAGTCTATAAGGTTCAAACCTACCCTGTCTTGTGCTATACTCTTGCTACCACCACACTGGCCCCATTTCCTCCCATAAAACAAAACAAAAGCTAAGCATGGAAACAACAACAGAACAGGTTGAACTGTGTTGAAAGACTGTTAAGAGAAAGCTAATTAAGCTAGCAGAGCAGTGACTGGAATGAACAGAACAGCTACCTCCCCACCTTGTTTGTCAAGACAGCAGGAAAGAACTAAAAATATCCAAAATGCAAAAGAAAACCAATGAGGTAGGTAGGTCAGAAGTTTAAAAACAAAAGCCCCACTCTTGCAACAAGCTCCTCATGTACTGATTCCAGTGTCCATAGAGTCTCAGCATGCCTTAAGAAGTCTATGTGGACAACAGTAGAGTCAGTATCTATATAATCACAATATCTTGAACAGATTAAATTGATCAAGTCATTGTGCTGGTGGGGAGCTGAGCTCCCAAGCAACTGTACAGCACAGTTGGTGCAACACACTGAGGCAAGTTAACAAAGCAGTAACAGAGCAGAAGCAAAAAAATCCATGGGGCAATGAGTACAGACAGATTAATACATAGTGAACGCAGGTAACTAAATCTGGGATAGGAGTCAGCAGGA